AACGCGATCAGTGGATAGCTGCCTCTCCCATTGGTTCCTTCTTGGATGGTGCTATACAGTATGCTGCGCGTAATGGTGATATATTCACCGGCGTCGTGTATGATACTGAAGAGTTTATGGGAACTCCTTCGTACAACAAGCTACTCAATGGTGACAATTCAGACATCAGAATGGCAGCTGCTGAGGGTCTGACTACTGCTGTGGCTTGTGGCTTTGATGAAGTCACTCGCCCTGACAATCGTGGGTCAATCTTCCTCAAAACTGTTGACCATCTTTATCTACAGATGTTTGATTTCTATAACGATGCCGGTGTTCCTATAGCGGCCTCTCCTTCGACCACGCCTTTTGTTACTTACTTGAATGATAGTCATGCCATGTATGATTATTTGTTCAGTGGTAAGAGCGATGTAAAGGCTGTCAAGTATACTGAGGCTTCTTACACGAAGTACTCCCAAGAAGGTAAGATCTCTATGATGTGGTCTACGTCCTTCAACACGTCCCCCAACTGTATGCAGCCTCTCAATGGTCAGTGCGGTGACACGAAGGCTCATTATGAGTTCGGTGTATGGGATGGTGTCCCTTTCGCGAATTTCGCCGGTATAGTGAAGTCTGCTTACCCCAACACTCCTCAGGGTATTATGCAGTTTGCTTTCATGCCAAAAAGCTGGGAGTAAGAAGTATATTAAGCTACGCTCTATATTTTCTGTCTTCTCTCTCTATGATCCTGTATGATGGATTTCATGTCTAGATGATGGACTTTCTTCGACTGATATTTGTCTTAGGTGAATTAGTTCGCCTCTTTTTAGCCGGATTTTTAAGTGCCACCTAGATCCCACGACTAAGAGTCCAATGTGGCTCTGTTTCCGTCGATATTTGATCTAGTGTCGTTGCACTTCTCCGACTGTATCAAGTCGTAGATCTACTACTACTTCTATCATCGATCTTCTCTCTCGCCATATAAGAATGCGAAACTTGCTGGTTGACCTCTTTTTTGGCTAATACTTCCTTATTTCTAAGTGCTAGTGGTCAAACTTTTATCGTTATATCGGAGTTTGATCGACTAGCGCCTCGAGTGATGAATCTTAGCTACTACGTGCGACGAGGTACGTGAGTATTTTTGTCCGTCCTCGCTTTTTGTCGATACTTGGTTTTTCGATACTGCTGTTACCGGTTACCACTATACTTTTCCGAGTCTATGCTGCATTCGTTCGCTACTGTGCGAAGTTGTATTCGTGGATTCCTTTGTTGAGCTGATACCATCGGTTGTATGAAATGAACCTTATTTTTTGACCTACTCGATTTCGAATTGGTCGCTGCGCCGGCGTGTTGCCATGCTCTATTTCTTCATATCGGATTAACTGTTCTTGCGTTACAAAGTGATGCTCGTAAGGCGTCAATAGCTTTCGAGGAATCCTTCTAGTAGAGAAACGAGCGGTATGCGAGAATCGTTCGAATAGCTCATCAAAGTCACCTTAGTAATTCGAGCACGTGACCAGGCGATAAAATCGGATGCACTACGATAAAGTAAAAACTATAGAACCACCACAGCAAACAGGCTGCGAGTGAGGTAACTATCTAAGAAGAGTAGAGTTTCTTCTCTATTTCCTAACATGGTACACCCCATTTTATATCTTCGATATGATCAATGAGTATATTAGATTAAACATAAATATCAAGGGTTATATTATAGATGAATGTATTATCACTCTGGATAGGCTGATGTGTCAGCTACAACATCATTTTATTATTTGTCTTGAAATGATATAGGACTTGTCTACTTAAAGCCCCTACATATAGTATGAGCCTGCTTATAGTTATAGTACATATAACTACACTTAGTGTTCACAGGTTCTATGTCAGATTCACTTCACCAGTATCCTTTTATCCCCACTCGCAATATAAAAACGCAACACATAAAGGATATCACTAACGGTGATGTCTATCTCTTTCACGAGATCTTGACCGTCTCTCTCCTCTCCTTCCACTATGACGTTCGTCCCGATGTTCCCTCACATAATCGCCTTCTCGCCTAAATACTCGTATACAGTACAAATCCATTGACACATGAACTCACCCTCGTTCGTAACGCCGCGGGCTGTCCCTCGTCCTCTCACGCGATCGACTTCTCCTATTTTCACGCCTCCGATGACGATCATCAGACACTCGTGGCCTATCATATCTACGATCATCTCGATCCCTTCTCTCGCGTCGACTAAAGCGTGTGAACATTACAAACTCACATCAGCATATAAACCCACTCGTTGTCATCACGTCTACGTGGCCTTTCGCCCCTTGCAGCTCTTCGTATCTCCTCTCTTTGTTTCTGCCGTATTTCTCTCCACTGTTTACTAACACTTTGCGAGAAATCAACCTGTTGCATGAGAACTCCGCTACCACCGCGAACACATGTCGTTACTTTGATTCTCTTGTCATCAATAACAACATTCTGCATTTTCACATACGCCATCTCGCATGCTTCTTTCGTTTCAAATTCTATGAATGCGTATTGCAGACTTTCCCCAGTCTTGAAGTCTCTAACCACATCACAGCTTTTAATCTGAACTCCATCAGTCGCAAAACGGAGAGCCTCAACACCTACCGGTCCGAAACGCTCGAATATCGTCTTGAGGTCCTCATCCTCAGTGACCTCATTAAGCTGGCAGACAAAGAGCTCCTTGTCCGATGCTCTGGCCTGTGACACGACTCAGCATCATCCCGAGAGGCCTTGACATTACTTCGGCGTCCGGAAGATCCCCCATCAGTTCCAAGCCGATAGACTGTGCCTGGGCCTGGGCATTAGCTCGGCGCTCTTCAATCTCCTCCTGAAGATAGCAAATCTCTCGATTGTTCTATAGGGTTGGAATTTACCTCCTCTTGGTCGTCGAGATCGGTCTGAAGTCTCTCATCAATAATCTCATCTGGGCTCGCGGGCTCCTCTGCGGGCCAATCCGCGGGGTCTGGAAATGGATCGTCCAGGACCTGGCAAGCCGTGACGTGCGACGGAAGA